AACTAGAAACTTAGAAAAGGAACAGTTTTGAGATGAAAATCAAGAGTTGTGCCATGGCCAGTAATGGATCGGATCAATGCCCTTTAGACGTATTCGACAGTAGATTTCTCCTACCTACGGAGAAACTATTTACTATTGTGTTTATTCATTCAGCAAAAATCTATCAGCAGACACTGTCCTAAGTGCTTCACAGTGATCAAAACAGATCAAGTCCTTGCCTTTGTGGGCTTACACTGTAGTGAGGGAGATAAACAAGTAAATAAATAACATAATTTCAGGTGGTGGTAGGTACTAAAGAGGAAAAAAAAAGCATACTTAATTCATCCATGTGCTCAAAAAGTACCTTCTTACCAATCCCTAGGCAGAGTATGATTAGCCAGAGTACAGCCCAGAACGACATTCACAAAAAATCTAGTACATAACACAAAAAGGAGTGTCACAGAAAGATATTTATAAAGTAATAAGTTGAAAGTAGACTGAAGTTAGTTTTAACTTGAAACGTCAAATAGAAAAATAAGGCAAGACACTGTCCCTCAGCTAGCTGTCCAAGGAAAGATGCAATTCGGATATATAGGAAGGGAGGGGAGATGGACCCATGAAGAATATGCCAAGCCATGGACAATGGTTTGCACGGAGAACACCTAGCAATACATTTTGACAAAAGCAGAGTACGCAAAGGAGAACGTATTAGTTATCTATCGATGACTAACAAACTATGTCAGAACTTAATGCCCTAAAGCAGTGATGGCAAACCTTTCAGAGCTTTCAATGATAGCAGACAGCAGCACGCTATAGGTTCGCCACCACTGCCTTAAAACAACAAACACTTATTGTCTGTGGCTCAGGAATCCAGGCTGGGTTTCCGGGCTCCTTTGGCTAAGGTATCACGAGGGGCTGCAGGCTTCTCAGGGTTGCACCAGGAAGGATCAACTTCCAAGCCTCCTCGGGGGACTGTTGGCAGGCCTCCGTGCTCCCTGTCACCAGAGACAGGAGCTCCTGGGTCCCTGGGCCTCTCCACAAGACAGTTCACAGCACGCCTGCTGGTTGCCCTCAAAGCAAATGCAGGGGAGAGCAAGAGAAGGCAGGAGAGGCTACCTCTCTTAGTAACCTTGTCTCAGAAGTGACATGGTGTCACTCCTGCCACATGTACAAGTGTATCCCTAGACCCAGTCCAGGGGGGACGACAAAAGGTATGCGGGCCAGGAGGTGGGGCTCACTGGGGACACCTTTTAGAAGGTGCCTGCTGCAGGAGTAACAGAAGAGTCTGTTGAAGATACGGGCTGGGTCAGGTTAAAGAAAACCGTGGATGCCATCCCGAGGATGAGACATTCCATTGGAAGTGGAGGGTAGAGGGTGGCAAATTTAATGTTTAAGTCCACGTTAGACTAATTGAAGTTCTTGGATAAATAGAATTTTGATGGCCGTCCTAAGAGCAGCTGTTTAGCAAGTTGGGAAGGTTGTCTAATTCTATACCCCAGGAAACAAAAGCACTCACTTTTATCAGATAATAATGATCAGATAACCGTAGAGCAGATCTGCTCTTCCTCAAAAAACTTCCAACAACCTAACTTAACGATGCATTCTTGAAAATCCAGAACGGGTTTGCGAGTTTGTGACTGTTTTTCTGTGTCAGGACTGTCTCTAGAGTTTACTTGCAGTAGCTTTCAAAATTCTTTGGTCCTCAACTGGTAGCAAGCAATACATTTTATGTCACAACCCAGAATATATGCATAATCAAACTACAAAGTGTTTGTTTGTTTTGCAGTACTGAGTATTCAACCTAGGGCCTTTGCGGTGAGCTAAATCCCAAGTCTTTTTTTCACATTTTAAATTTTTTGGTTTTTTTTTTGTTTTGTTTTTTTCCGGTACCAGGAATCGAACTCACAACCTTGCGCTTGCCAGGCAGGCGCTGTGCCGCTGAGCTAAATCCCCAGCCCCTACATTTTATTGATTGATTGATTGATTGATTGATTGTCTTTTTGAGACAGGGTCTCGCTATGCAGTTCAGGCTGACCTTGAGCTCACTTTGTAGCCCAGGCTGGTCTCGAATTCACAATCATCCTCCTGCCTCAGCCTCCCGAATGCTGGGATTACAGGCGTGCGCCACCATGCCCGGCAGCCCCCACATTTTAAATTTTGAGACAGGGTCTTGCTAAGTCACTAAACTGCCCAGGCTAGTCTGGAACTTGTGATTCTCCTGCCTCAGCCTCCCAGAGCACTGGAATTATAGACACGTGCCCACACACCCAGCTCGCAAATTTTATGGAATACTTAATATTACTATATACAGTATACTTTTTTTTTTCCTATTCTGTTCTAGTTGCATTAAAAAAAGAAAACAAACTGAGTGAATCCTTTGCTTTGCACCCCTTAGTCCTGTCCTACAGTTTGAAAAACGCTGCTCTTCTAGAGCATGGGCTTAGAAGTCAAAATCATGGTACTGTGACATCAGGTATTCGGTGGTGCAGTTTCCCAGGAGTTGGTGAAGGCATCGTGTCCAGCGCACTCCAGCCAAAGCATTACAGCAAAAACCCAAAGCACACCAGGGCTCAGCTGGAAGGCACTGTGTTAGCAGGTGCACCTCAGATTGGCTCTTGAGAAGATGAACGTCGTCACAGAAAAAAAAAAAAATCACCTTTTTAGTCGTTTATTATTGATTGTGACCATGCAGCGATCAGACCGAAATTAAAGCCAACACACACAGAATTTTGCAGATATTACACTTCTCTTCAATATACGCTGTAATATGAACTACCAAAAAGTCCAAAGAAGAGGATTAATTGCCAGCCACAACCACCAACCCTGAAAACTTCCTTAATGCCTACCATTGAGCAGAGGAATGACCTCCGATTCACCTGAATGAAGAAAGTGGCTGAAGACCTTTGATTTTCCTCAACTGAAACCTGATCGAAAGGAATTGCCCAGGGCCCCTCTGTCCCCCACCAAGACTGCTTTTCTGACCAAAGAGTAGACTGGCGTTACTAGGGAACGTATGCGGAAGGGAGCTCGAGATTTTTCAGCTCAGACTGTGTTAAACTCCAAAGCCCCGAGAGTTCAGCGTTCACCGTCTCCCTGGGGAGAGACGGCTACGAGCGACGTGAACAGACCTTTGAATACTGTGCAAGTCGGTACAGGTTTAAAACAGTCCGGCAACACACCGCTTACAAGACAGTACGTGCAAAAACGGAGAGCTCTGAATTGGCAGGGACTAAGGCAGGCAGAGCAAGCTCTCCGGGGACTCATGACTAAGCCTTGAGTGACGGTGGCATTTGAGGGGCAGAAGGGAGGTCGCCGCCAATGCCAGGAACAACATTGTTCTGTGCAACCGGCCCGACCGGAGCGGAAGGTGAGGGGTGCGGCCGCGAGGAAGTAAAAGGGAATCTTCTCCCGAACCCACCGCGAGCGGGGAGCGGGGCGCAGGCCCGGGCTCCCGGAGGCTCTCGTGCGCGGGAACGGCCCGCCGCACAGCTCTCCCGGAAAACACGGACGGCAAAAACGGTGATCACACCCGGCCTTTTCCGCTGTGCCCTGCCCAGAGTGGCCCACGTCCCCGAAAGGAAGCGGGCAGCAGGCGACACGCGTTTGCTTACGCCTTCGCCCCGAGCGCGGCTCCGGGGTCTTTGTCCGCGGCAGGGCCGGGCCGGGCGCCCCGACCCCGCTCCGCCAGCCCCGCCGCGCACTCGCTTGTCGCCCGGCCGCACATGTGTTTCTGTTTTGTGTTGTAGCATTTGTTCTGGAAG